ATACGAGTTAACTTGAAAACAATATTACTATATTAAATCAGTAACCACACTTGGCTTTCACCCATAACAGAATTCAATCCAAGAGCATAGGATGTACAACAAAGAGTTCGATGAAAAAAAAAAAACCCAAATAATGTGGGATCAAACATTATTATGCTTTCAAGTAAAGTTAAAGTGCAACACAATAAGAGGATGGAGTTGAAAACCTAAAAGAAAGTATGATAAGCCAAATAGTTCATAACGAGACACCTGAAAATGCAAAGTCACATCACAGCCAAACTAGCTAGCTAGACTCTTTTTCTTTTCTTTATTTTTTTCTTTTTTTTTGGAACAACGGACTCTTCTTTTATAAAGTTTAGATTCTCCTCATGGTCTATAAATACTTTAACTCTGCTAAGATTCTCACCAAAACCTTGGATTTCAACACTTTGGAGAGTGTTCCTTTCAGGGTTGAAGTAGAAAACATAAAACGGTTTAGATTTAGATGCATCCTTCATTGACAACACAATTTCTCCCTTTGCTGTCACTCCGGCCACAGAAACATGATCCCAGTCAACGAGTTTATTTTCTGGAAAAGTGTAGACATAATTCGAAAACTCCTGTTTCTCGACGTCCTCTAGAACCCACATACGCAACTTAATGGCATCATCAGCCCCATCATGCTCTAGAATAATCCCACCTAATTTACCTTTATAGTTTACTAACTTAGTAGCATGTCTATCATCATAATCTCTACCCCAATAGCATTTTGTGTCAATGAGCTTGAATTTCTCAGATCTAACATCAAAGCAAACTATCTTCACATGAGACGGAAATTCATCAGAACTTTTACAAAACCAATCAGCCAATTGATTAGCTGAACCTAAGTAATACAAAACCCCATCGATGCATATCCCTCCACTCCAACAAGAATTGTACCAGGGACAATGATTAGTACCCCTCCACTTAAGTTTTCCAGTTCCTAATGTCAGAATTTTATGATGCACCCTTTCAGGACAAAATGTGTAAGCCTCAGACAATACTTTGAACTGTTTGTTAATCGGATCAAACCCTAAAAAACTTGTCGACTTTCTGTAAATCAACACTTTAGGCAAGGTTGCAGACTTTCCAGTGATGGGATTACATACTAGATTGTTAACGTTGTCACGGAAAATCATGTCAGGGTAATAGATCAAACCGGAGGTATAGCTACAACCGTCTCCTAAATCCTTATATCCACAGATCTTCGTATGAAAATCGGCAGCTACTACAAGAGAAGACTTCCCATCTGGATTCTGTGGCTGAGGCGACGAGTAGAAGTTCCATTCATCATCGGCTCCTTCGAGGGCGAATAAGAGACGTGGACGAGTCGAGGACCTGGTCAGAAACAACTCCGTGGAATATGGACGGTGAAGCATAGACCCCCATAGCTTCGACACGCAATGAAACCTCCCGATTGACTTTTCAGGCAATCTCCAAAGTATCTTGGGAATGAGATACATAAGGAATCTGATCCTTCTTCTCTATTCACGATCGTTGTATTTGCTGATAATAAGTCGGAGTGAGATACTAGGTGAGAGAGAAGAGACAGAGAGACGGAAACGAAAGATAAAGAGTGAGTAAACGGCAAGAAGACGAGGAAAGTGAGCAGAAAAAAAGATGATCGAAATGGTGGAGAACATAAAGATCGAAGAAGAGGAAGAAGATGGAGCGATGAAGGAGAAATCCTCATAAATAATATATTTTTTAATTAATTTAAGATATAATTATTATGGAATAAATATCAGTTGGGTCAGGTTATAGAATTTAGGTGGAATGGATGGATATCACCCAGGTTTTATTGTAATTAAAGAGACAAGTAAAGAAGAAAATAGAATTTTCCAGGATTTTTAATATTAAAAGAAAATCAAAATTAAATTAATTATTAGCTTATGGCGTTTGGGCATACTTTTTCCTGATTTATGGCATTTTAGCCTGTCGCTCAAGGCTCTTTAGAATTTCTTTTTATTGATCTACTGACCTAATGGTTTTGTATTTATTCATGTACATTACATATCAACAAGTAAAAGTTACAAAAAAAAATTTTTACAAAAAGCAGATTTTTAGGTTAAATATATCTATTTAGGGTCAGCCCTAACTTAAGGCCCAAGAAGCATTGTGTTTTAAGTTTAAACCATCTATATATATATAAATATATATATATATATATGTCTGTAAAGTGATAAGACGAAATCATAAAAACATATTAGTCTTTTAAATTCAAGAATTCAACATACATCACCCCTCATCGAAAAAAAAACAAAATATGCCCTGTCTTTTGTTGCACACTTGCACTTGATGATCATCCACACCAAACAAGTTCAAGTCTGTTTTTGTTTCATGGAGAAGAATATGGGAGGTAATGTTGGTTAATGGAGAAAGAATATTGGTTTGGCAAGTCTTTTGTTGCACTTGATACTCATCCACACCATGACACCAATATTCTTCTCCATAAATCATGACCTCCCCACAACCTTCTTCTTCATCTTGCTTCTCTCATTCTTCACTGATTTGCCAATAGCATATACATTAGGAGTCTGAATAAGAAATTTTAGAAGAAGGGGTACATAACCATATTTTTTCAATAGCTCATGCTTACAATAAAATTTTAGAGTTGTCCACTATGAGCTTTCGAAAAACGACAGTTCTTTAATCCTTCCTCTCAGCCTCACCAGTCACCACTATATTCCATCTTCAAAACTCTTAATAGTCTCTTTTTCTGTTCAAACTCGTAACCGACTTTTAACACATTGACATAACGAGCTTCAAGAGTAAAACTATGACCACTTACAAACAAGAAGAGAGAAACTAGCCAATTGACAACTATTAACAACGTCAAATGATTCGATGCAATAATTAAAAAAAAAATACCGTCAAACAAGAGAAGATAAAATTTTACTTTGATGGTGTTGCCTCAAACACCAAACAAACTAACCAATTGACAAGTATTAACAACGTCAAAGAATCTATTAGTTTTGAATTTAATCACTCCTTGTAGTACAAGATCATAATTAACATCTTCAACATGTTTCGTTTGGCTTTAGGATTTGTGGAACTATTAATTAAAGTTGTGTTTATTTTTCGTGGAAGAAAAAAAAAATCAATTAGAATTTTCATTTTCATTTTTTAACCAAACTTTTTGAACAAGTAAAAGCTCCAGACTTCCATATTCCAATGGTGAACCTTTAAATTAATTTTGTTCACTAAAAAACATTATAATAACTTTGGACTTATAAAATTTCATACAAAAATTATTAATCATTAACAATTTAGTGCGCATCAAGATCTAAATGAGGAGTGAAGAGGAATATCGATAAATTTCATATAAATACAGACAAAAATTCGAGAAAAAAATAAATAAACATGTCGTCATATAATTAGAGATTATTATCGGTTATGATAGGGAGAATCTCCTAAAAAGGTTGCATTTTATGATTAGAAATTGATAATATAGATTAAGAAATAAAAATTGGTATTAAATTTTCGTCTATAACAATATTTTTAAAACCGGATTGAAATCAAACGGGTTAAGCATATGGGTCACGGTTTAATCTGGTCCAACCAGGTTCAACCTGGTTCACAGAATTTATATTTTTAAAAATTTGAAATATATAAGTATTATACATAATTAAGATATATTATGTATATACATAATAACATTTTAAAGAGGTTAAATTAATTCTTAACATTCAAATTTTTAGTAACCTGAAACATTTTTAAGCTTTAGAAATCATTCAAAGATTTAATTAAAACTTTATGAATATTATTATATTAATTTTTCTTGTTTTTATTACTTTTTAGAGTATAAAACATATATATTTAGTTTCTGAAATACTAAAGAATTAATTATAAGAAAATTTAATAGAATTATTGAACCAGGATTAATTAACCAAATCACTATTCATCCAGTTCATGAGTTTTTGACAGTTTATTATGATTTTTATGCGGTTTAAAAGCTGTTGGATTTTATAAAAACCCAACCCGGCCACGAGTTTGGTTCATGGTCAAACTCGGTCCAACCATCGGGTCGGTCCGGTTTTAACAACACTAAACTCTATAACAAAAAGAAATTGATAATTCGTCTAATACTAGTAAAATTAATAAGTTAAGACATGCATTATAGTTCTGTTAATACGTTATAATTAATATGGCAACTATACTCTCAGAATTCGTATTACTCGCATATATTTATTTTAATAATATTTTTTTGGTCGTCAAATTGATAAACCAATGTATGTTAGCTACAAACAGATTTTTGTTTTCTGTTTTTTTTTTGTCAACGGATACAACCAGATTCCTTGTATTAAAAACGATTTTAAAATGATGTTACAATACATGCAAATATCCCTTAATTAAAAAGAAGAGTTTAAGGTGTTAATGAGTTTAGATTCGATATGATATCTGTATTTTCATTTCTTATTATACAGGATTAGGAAAAAATATCACACAAAAAGAAATAAAACAGAAGAAAAAGAGAACATGTAGACAGGGGAAAAAATATCATATTTTCCTACAGGGGAAATACTTTTATTTCATTATTAGCAGTCTAATATTTAATATATTCCTATTTTTCACCAAAATATCTTTCACTCAAAGAGAAACAAAATAGAAAATAGGAAGACACTCATACACGATACATAGTAACATGTAAGATACATATTTTCGACTTTTTCAGGAAAAATAAAGAAAATTTAGAAAACAAATTGGAAAGGAAAACATCTTTATATTAAAGTTGGATGCATTTTATTACTGAATAAAATCAAGAACTAAAGCGGTATAAAATCAGAAATTTAAAGGGAATTATGATGTTACGATAAAGAAATATTGATTGTGATTGTGTGTGTCCGCATATATATGTATGTGTCCGCATATATATGTATGTGTCAAATTCTTTTTTGAAATAATTAAGCTTGTGAGATTCATATAATCTCGTGAAGCTTCTTCCTAGCTTGGTAGTGACTCAATCGTGTTTAAAAAATAAAATGAATCAGCGACCACAAAATGATCACTTGAGAGTAAATAAGACAGGTAAGTACATTCGAAAGAGTATTTTCCACCAAATACACGCAAACGCTAACGCCATATTTCAGCCGCAGCAACCGCAACAAAAAACGCAAGTGTACATCATAAACAAGAACGACTTCAAAAGCGTTGTTCAGCAACTAACGAGTTATCATTCATGTGAGCCTTTACCTCAAAGCTTCCCAAAGCATCAGAAGAATAGACCAGAGCCGGTAAACCGGACATCATCGGTTCCCCCCATTACCACGGTGGTTCAAGAAGATCCTCATGTCTCATTGTATATGCGTTATCTTCAAAGCTTACTTGAAGACTCATCAGAATCTGATGGTGATCAATTCCAACAACCTTTTGATGAGTCTCAATCTGATATGCTAGCTCAAACTCAAGTTCCTAAAAAATCCATGTCGTATTCCAATGGTCTTGAACCGGTCATGACCACTACTTTGACCTCTCCTTGGTTCGATGGCTCGCTTCAACAAATTGACGGTGCTTACTCATTGGAGTCAACAAGAGCTGAGTATCCTCAACCACTGACTCCAAGCTTCACATATTCTTCTATGACTCAACCTGGAGTTTTCGATCCGGATCTAGAATATTTTTAGCTCTTTCTACATCTCTTGGACTCATGTTCACAGTTCTTTTCCTCTATATATCCTCAGAGGTTTCAGGACATCCATAACTTTTAAAACGATAAAAGAGCAAGTTAGAATAAAAGGTACTTAGAGAGATTTTATTAAGCTTTATGTTTGGCTGTTGATGATGATTATATGAAATATCATCAGTAATCTCTTGTACTATCAACTCTTGTTTGGCTTAATCAACTCTTATTATCTCCTCTGGGTCAGAGTAATCATATCATCTGTAACATAAGAAAATGTGTAATAAGGCCTCACTAGAATCTATCTCTCTCACTCTCTTCATATATTTGTTAAACCGGTTGTAAACAAAACCGGATAAAACAAGAGGTTAACCAAGACCTTGGCTTGGTGAAACTGAAACACAATCCCAACAAAAAAAATCTCATTACCTTGGTTTGGTGAAACTGAAACACGATCCCAACAAAAAAAAAAATCTCATTTGCTGATAATTGCATACAAACTTGTGGAAAATACCAAATTTGTTACTTTAAAAAAAAAAAAATCAGAAGCAAGAGACTGAAGAAACAGAGAGAGGGTAAGAGAAGCTGTTAGCATATTGAAAAGAGAGTGTCTGTCCAGGAGCAAGAGGTTGACCGTCGTTGACCAGACAATCATCATAACAGAGTCGCCTGAAAACTCTAGGGTTAACCAGCCTGACCGAGCTGAACCAGCCACAACTGACGTGGATCTCTGCGATCTTGCAACCCGAGACACATGCGTTGAAGATCTGAACTGTGTATGCAGGAACTCCGTTTGGAAGTGGAACCGTTGAGCCTTGAAAGACAACAATATCGTCCTTTGAGCAATCTTGTCCGATCCTATTGGTTCCTTCGACAGTGTCTGAAAATGTCTCTGAAATATGTGTCTTTAGGGTTTCTAAAACATATAGAGACTGATCATAATCATATATGAAGCCAGAGAGTTTCTAGGAGTTACTGGTAGATAGCAGAAGCTTTCTGGAAATGGTGGTGCGGTTTTGGTTAGTAGAAATGAAGCTTCTTGCATTGAGAGTAAATCCTCTTCTATCATTAGAACTTTCCAAGTCATTGCCCTTCACAGCTGCAATATTGAGAGTATTCTAATATGGAATTGGTGTTTTTAAGAAGAAGAAGAAGAAGAGAGAGAGGGATGTTGTACATAAGGACTTACACAGAGCAAGAGACAGCAACATTCCAAAACCTATGAAGAAGAGACATGGTTGGAATTGGTAGATGTATTCCATTCTCTTGAACTGGTCCAAAAGATGTTGGAGGCTTCTTCTCTGTTTTAGTAGAAGGCATACTAATTTATAGAGGTATATATGTTGGTACACATGCATGTGGAGAGAGATAGATAGAGAGAGAGAGAAACCTGAAAAGAAACTTGAGAAAGGAAAGTATGTGATTGCATGCATGTCTGCTGGTTCCATAAGATATGGACCAATCCCCTGTTTCACCTCAAAAATCTATCTACCTCGAGATTCAGACAATAATAAGTATTACCAATCTTTGGTTAAAATTCTGAAAAGGTGCTGACAAAATGTAGTTGAGTCATTAACTATACTAAACCATAGTAAAACACATATCAACAAAATCTAAAGAAAATTAAAGAGCACAATTCGATCAATGATTTAGTAGGATTTTAAATCTTTTTTCTCTTCCAAATCTTCCCTTATTGGATCGATGATTTTGTAGGATGTCACATCCTCTCATTGTATTGTATACATTTGTTAAAATATTTCAAATCCAGGGATAATTAATTAGTCATTTATAAAAAAAATCTTCTATAATCTTGCATTATTGGAAAATAGTGATTTTTTTAAGTAAAATATATCAAAAAAGAATTTGGAACTATTTAAGTGGCCAGACCATTTGTAAATAAAAATCAATGGATAGAAATACTACCTGAAGGCTGAAACGCCATATTCTCTTTTCTCGTTTCAATTTTTGCCTAAATTTACAAGCATCACATGAGAAGGTAGAAAATAATATTCATATTAATTTCCATCCTCAATGTAGAAAATTTTGATTCTCCAAATCATCTCATGGTGTTCTATTTTCTTCTTATTCTTTGGTAAGCGGTAGTCGTGAATCTTCCAAAAAACGATAAAGCTAAGTGGACTTCTCTTAGTCCAATCCAAACGAGGAGCTTCTTAAGAAGAAAGGTTCTAGAATCAAGTATAAGCTTTGGTTTTGGACTTTTGGATGACGATGATACTCTAATACTCGCTAGTTTTTGTTTGGTACAAAATTGTTAACTTAGTATTTTATTCCATAGTTATCAATACATTAGAGAATATAAAAAAAAAATTCAAACTCAGCAACAAGAACATAGGGTCTCAAACATGCCTTGATTCCCTTGGTCTTTATCAACGCATCCTTGTTCCATTGATACATGAAGTAAAGTCTTGTTGCAACTTTAATATTTTCTCTCCTCTTTCTATATGAAACCGGTTGCAACTTCTTTAGCAAGAATTGAATATTTGCCTTTTGGCTTACAAAATTGGATGGGAGAAGGAAATATCTTTCATGCTTCAAAACAGAAGCATCCCGTTCCTCCACAAGCCTGAAATCATCAATATCGTGTACATTGCAACATTAGGCAACACTCTTTTAGAAGAGGAGACTACAAAATAAATCCCAAGCATCTTCCATTTTACAAGCCTTTCATGTTCAAGGCTGGTAAGGTGGAAGATGCATGGGATTTATTTTGTGGATTCCCTTCAAGTGAATGAGCTCACTTTTCTCTCTAGTCCCTGCCACGAGAAGACTGGAACGTTAAGGCTGAGAAATTTCTGAGTTACAAACACACAAAAGCTTGCACATTAGACAAAAGGGTAATCCATTTTACTCAGGCATCACCCAAAAGAGTTAAATCCAGCGTCCTCCACTCTCTTTAAGACTTGCAAAATCTATTCATAAGAGTATTATAAGTCACTTCGTTTGGGAAAGCAACACTTGGTTTTACCAAATGTAGTGACTTATAATACTCTTATAAACAATCTTTCCAAGAAAAGATTAAAGCAAGAGACAGAGAGTAGACAACATCTGTAAAAAAAACATCATACTTCAGTTGTTTTTAAATCGGATTTCAACCAAAAGATAATCTATTTCACACTCTAGGCATCAACCAAATAAGTAAAATCCAATCCTCTACTCTCTTTAAGACTTGCAAAATCCATTCATGAGAGTATTATAAGTCACTTCGTTTGGGAAAACAACACTTGGGTCTACCAAAATGTAGTGACTTATAATACTCTCATAAACAATCTTCCCAAGAAAAGATTAAAGCAAGAGACAGAGAGAGTAGAGAAACATCTACATAAATCATATTACAGAAACTCTGGTGAAAATTCCTTTATCATTCACATCTTTTCAGAGAGATAGATCACAAAAACATCATACGACTCTATCGAAACCGGATCCAAATACCCTGAGATCCGTTTCCACCTGCAGATATAGATCCAAACATCATATATCAACATGAGAATTCAACACTTGAAGAAAAAGTATCGCTAAATTCAATAGAGTAAAACCCAGAATTATCAAAATCTCTGCGGCAAAAGGAAAGAAACAGAAACCGCCACAGGATCTACCTTTTCCGATGGATATCATCCTTTCTTCGACGACGGAGATCTCAATCGGAATCGTAATGGATCGATTCTCACTTTAGATGATTGAGAGATCGATACAAACCTCTGTTTCGTGAGTGACAATGTAAACGCTGTACGGCGCACCCTAAATGAGTGAAGGAACGTTATTATAGGCTAAGATAAGGAAACCGGTTAAGTGACGGTTTTAATCTGTCAATCCGGTTAAAGTAAATTATCGGACTGAACCGGTTTGCCCTAAATAGAGAGTTAGGTTAACGTTTTTCTACTTTTCAGTTATAACAGACTCACAGAGTTCACAAGCCCGGACCGCTCTTATAAATTATGCAGGAAACAAGTTAAACTTTGATTCATAGACCGATCCAAAATCACATGGAATCTAATGTTAAAACTTTTAGGTTGTTTTATGATACCAATATTAGCATCATCCGTGGAAAACGTTTGAACGGAGATTAGTGGAAGTTGGATTTGTACAAAGTTAGTTGATTTTAAAAATTATATGAGAATTGCAACTGTGATTTCTTGACACAATCCATCATATGAAGCTCCTATTGCTATCTAGCACTACAATTTTCAAATTCGTTCTTGAGTTTTACATAGATCACTTCTCAAAAGTTGTTAATGTCAAAAGACAAAAACTATAAAATTTATTTCGTGCATGCATATTTTCATAAGTTTTCAAAATGATAAGATTTTAACAAGATTTTCATATGTTTTCAAAATATAAAGATTTTAAAACTTACGCAAAGTTAACTAAATTATTAAAATGCAATTTTTGTAGGGTTTGAATCTCCTAGTGACTAAAACACTTCCATTAAAAGGTTTTCATGAGAGTATCTCATAATCAATTAAAATAAGAAAATTCATAGAAGAGTAAGAGAGAAACTGAAATGGGTTCTCAAATGAGAATCCCAAAAGACATTTGTCTTATAATTTAGTTTAAGATTGTATTTCAGATTAAATTTAACTAAATAATTTAACTTTATTTAAATATTAATTTATATATTTTTTAGAAACTCTTAAAAAATTCTCATAGATAGATAAGCTCTAGGAATTTTTTTTTGCAAAGCGGAGTGCTCTGGTCTTGATACACTTATGTTGATGTTTAAGCTGAGTGGATGGTGCACCGTGCACACACGTAAGTGTATATATACCAAAAGAAACATAAGATCTTCAAATGTAGTTTCCAGAGTTTTTTGGAAAACAAGGAGTTGCATTCTCTTGAGTGAATTGAAATGCAAAAAAAAAAGATTGTCAGATGTTGGCATACACATATGGAAAATTTTGTGAAGTGAACCCTCATCTTTGATTATATATGGTGCCAAATTGTAGACCATGTTTTTCAAAAATTGTGTTAGCTTCAAAGCTCCACAAAGCTTTATATCACTACAAAATGCAGGTCAATGAGAGTGGAAAACATACAATCATAAGAGAAATTTGTTAATAGAAAAATTCTCATCTTATATAAAACGAAAACAAAGTCTTCTGTTATTTATAAAAAAAATTCGTTTGTTTAATTTTTAAATTTGATTTTTTCTTCTCAGAAAAGGAAAGTCTTATTTTCCCTTTTTTAGACGAGTACCATTTTTTATTCCTATAATATTTTAGAAATCTTCGGTAACTTTCGGAGGTTGGTGCCAATTCGCAAAACTGGGTTTAATAGATCTTTTTTGGACACTTAGGTCGATTCATCTGATCTGAACTCAATATCTATCGTAAACCAATATTGTTTTAGACCGATCTCGATTTATACCGAATTAAACCAGATGTGCTAGATAATTAATTAGGTTATCAGTAGTACTATTGTCCACAATCTTGCTTTACACTTGTGCAAAAATAGATCAAAAAAAAGTAAACATTTTTCTTTCTTTTGACAACATGTAATTTTAGATTATGGTAATGAAAAAACCATCGAAGATTGGATTATGGAGCAACGTCAAAAAGATCAAATTTGCGATCCAAATCATTATACTTATTATAAAAACTCCAAGTGTTCTTCTTTATAATGATAATTGAAAGATAAAGCTCTAGATTCTCTTACGATTACATTTTGTAAATCTTCTTTTTCTACAATGACAATGAAATACTACGGAATAACAAAAAAATTTCATCATTACATATAGTTAAAAAATTATTTGTTAAAATTCAACAAAAAAAAAACAAAAAAAGACTCTGAAAAAAGCTTCGGTAATAAACATGTTTTTATTTTCTTCTGTTATAAATTTAATAGTGTGTATTAGCTAACATGTCAACTTCTAATGAGTTTTTTGAAAAAATGTCAAAAAAACTCATCTCCAAATCGCTTAGAAGTGGTTGTGGACTGGAACCACTAAAACAAAGATTTCGGTCCATAGATTTAGACTCCTTCTCCTTTACCGCTGAACCAAAAATGAAACAAGACCTTTCGATTAACTAAGAATTGACTTCATGCTGAAATCCCACAATTAGTGAACTGTTCATGTTAGCAAATCTATGAAGGAGTCTCATGACTCTCAATAAACCACCCACTCAATCAAGGCAATTGAATTAATTGAAAAAGTTAAATTGTCATCATCGGTATAGTTGAAAGCACCATTGATCTACGAGAAATTGCTGTGTCAATTAAAGCATCCAAAATTTGGTGTCAAATACATATCAGCCAAGTTGATAGGTTTTGTAAAACTTTAATACCAGACATCCATCTATAATGGATTTGTTGAAGGCGTTAACTCCACCCCCAAAAGCCCTATTATTTTGATAATATTCGGTTCTAACTTTTTTATTTTCTCTAAATGTCGTTTATATGTAACACCTTTCTTCTCAACTTTACATATCTAATATATAAAAAAAGATGAACTCTCTCCATCTAGCTGACACGTCAGCATCCTTACATTAGACACATGTCCCTTTTTGATGTTCCTAAACGACGTCGTACTATGCCTTTTCTGCTGTTCTTGCTAAACGACGTCGACCACCCGATTTTCCTCTTCTTCTGTCCTATACTCCCGATCTCCTCTACATGCGGCGGTTCGTTAACGCAGACAAAGACGCTGCCTCCAGAAGTAGACAAAGAATAATATGATTCTGAATGGGGTCAGTTCATTCGTTTTTTTTTTGTTTCTCTTACTTTCCCCGGAATTTGAGAGTTTCTCTTTTCTCACTGTCAGAATTGATTCGGCTGAAGTTCTCCATCTAAAAAAACATGCCCAAGGTGATCATCAAATCTCCAATCTGCAATCTCCAGGGCCGTAAAATTGGATGATTTTGTTGTCCCAGAAGATAAGGAATCATTCCTTTGTTTAATTTAAGTCAGCGATTGATTATATGGAGGAGTTGTTTTTCCAATGGTATTAAAAAAAAACCTCTCGCTCTATGTTTTGTAGATTACAGGTTAAGAAAACATCTACCTAGGTCCACACGGAGCTTCTCCTTCGCAGGTCCAATATGGTTACACATCGACCTGCAGTGGCCGTCTAAGCTAAGCTGAATGAAGCAGACCAGAATTGAATGTCTTTGGTCGAGAAAACAAAGCAGCGAAGGTTTGGTTTGTATGCACGTCGATGTCACTTTAGAATTCAACTTGTCAGTCCCTATCTTCCTTGCAACTTTAACTTCTTACTTATGTATATTTAGAGTTCATGGAGGTTAACGTTTTCCCACCAAATGCTTCTCTACTTCCGATTTGCTTAATTAAGACTACATGGCTTGGTTTATTTAGTTTGATCTACTTGTGGATTTCAGGACAAATATCCCTGATGTTGTTAGGAATTAATATTATGTGATGGACATGAAGCTGATGTATGGACTACTGCAGTTATATAGGGTATATTGCTAAGCGGAGTCCTACCTTATGGTCAGGTAATTGTGATCGGTGTTTTACGTGTAAGCCCTTTTGTTTCTGTTCTTAAGGTTGGTTCAAATTGGTTTTGTAAACTGGGAACGCATGCTTAATTTGTAATCATAGGAGTTCGAAACTGGTAATGACCTGCATTCTGAACCATATTGTTTTATAAACATTTTGTAACTAATTTGGATAGATTAATCTTTCAATTGCAATTACAATACTTGACTTATAATAGAAATTTAATGTGGTTTTATAAATCTGAAGGATGATATCATATCTTTGGAAAATATATGTTGATTTCACTAAAGAATTTCCTCAAGTTGAATGTTATAATCATTTTCGTAAACCAAAACTGAATTGGAAATCATTGTTGTTCGTCATGATAAGGTTCAGTGTCTCAACTTCTTCTTTGTCCTAAATATTGTTGAAAAATCGAATTTGTAATTTCTCATAAAATAAATTTATAAAGAAACGATAACGACCTGCACAGTTATAAAGATACATTTAGTGCAATATTGCCCAGGAGATGGGAATAACTTTCTTGAGATTTTCTTCTGTGTCGTGTTTTGTTTTCTGTATTTTCTTTAGTTGGATGTAGGTTTTTTTTAAATCTGAGCTGATTACATATTATGAAATTACATAGCTTTTGGTATGCTAACAGGAGTGGATATGATGGAAGCTGATCCCATCTATGTTCCGTTAGTTTTCTAAATAATTAATTTTTAGTTTTATCTTCCTTCTATATTACTGAATGTTGGAATCAAAAAGTTAGTTTCAGTTATGGAAGCATCGTCGAGTGATATGTTTGTCTTGTCCTTTTTCGCTTTTATTTACATGAATTTAGTCAAGCTAGCTATAGCTAACGAATGTTCGAGGTGGAGCTTTAGTGCATAAGTCTTATAATGGAACGAGAAATATATCATATATAGGTTTATCCGTTATCAGTATGAAGAATTGTCATGTTTTATTAATATGAGGGTGGCTACTGGTGCATATCATAGATCTAATGAAGCTTTTCTTGATGAGGTTCTTGAGGTGGTGTTCTCCTTTCTATGTCTGATTTCCAGTTTTATCTCCTAATTTTGATAGACACAACTCATCATACATTTTGAATAGATTACTGGGTGATGCAGACAAATTTCAGTTGTTTAAAGGCTATTTTGTTAATCGTTTATAACATGTTAACAATGATAAGTGTTTTCTTTCTTAAATCGTATTGGATACATGTTAAGACTAGCTTCACTTTTATAGTGACTGAGTTTGAGAACTGTTAGTGTGAAACAGAGTTAGAAATATTTATTTGTGGTCTAATAGTTGTTATTGTATTTGAGATAAGTGTAAATTTAGGGTCTGGATAAGATCACGATAAGTTAATATTCCAAATTTTATTTTTCTTAGGTTTTGGTTTTTTAATATATACTAAATACACATAATTGATTTATATATTTGAGTGTTCATAAGCTTCTTCAATATTAAATTGTATTTGCATTATTATTTTGATATTTTCTAAACTATTCATCATTTAGAGATAATAGTTTTTTTCTGTTCTTTTCTGTCAATGTGAAGACTGTGAAAATTATTTTAATTGCTTATGTATCTTGGCTAACAAAAAAAACACCAAACACAATAATTATAACATTGTACTAATGAAATAAAAATTTAAATCAAAAATTACATTCTTATAAAAAATCCCGCGCTACGCGCGAATATTCATCTAGTACTAATAATGTGCCGATCTCCACAATTTTTATAGAATTACCGTCAATCTTATTCTCTGTCTCCATTTCCCCAAACCTTAATTATTTAATAAGAAAAGGTTATTTTCTTGTTAGTTACAATGAGAACGGAGTTTTGCTGATTATAAATTGGGTCAAAACACACAAGTTTTGACAAAATAAAAACAGAGAAGTATAATATATGGATACGTGTCGTGACTTAGGTAATAAACCACTTCTTAAAATACAATATGGTGCATGAGATTAGCCACAATACAGTATTTAAAAAAAAAAACATTATCTCAAAGACTACCTATGGAACTCTTAAGAAATCACTAAACGTTCCCATAATATGGATGATGATGATGACGCCCTGTCGTCGGAGGATAAGTCGTCGTAGGAGGATAAGCCCCCGGAGGAGGATAAGTCGTCGCAGGAGGATAAGCCCCCGGAGGAGAATAAGCCGCTGGAGGTACAGAGGTAACTCCGGGTGGATTATGCCCATAACCATGTCCCATGACTGGCGCTGGAGCCGGCACTGGTGTGTGATGAGGCACGTCACCTTGAGAAACGTGGTAGTGAGATTGCTTAGCCATAAGCTTCTCTTCCGCATGAGCCTCTTTAGCCATGTGCATATCCATCTTAGCCTCTGCTTCCTTTGCCTTTCTTCGCTCGTGTGCTATCTGTTTCTCCTCTTTTGTCCGTGCCATGGCCTGCTCAGCCTGTAACCAAAAAAACTCCAAATTAATTAATCATATTGTTATCATATGCTTAACGTTAATATATATATCAATATTATAATTTGATTAGAAACCTTCTCATCGGCTTTTGCTTGACATATAACCATCTTCTTCTTGGCTGTACTAGCCATATCGCTTAGCTTCTTTTTCACCGATTGCATTTTTTTTTTCTTTTTCTTCTCTGTTTCTCTAATATTCAATAGTTATTATTTGGTTTAAATAAAATTTATGAATAGCTTAGTCGGTCCAAAGGAGTCTTATTATTGCCACGTGTTAGCGACGACACCACGTGTCTTGATTCATCTCCAGCCCTCTCATTAGCGGCCAGGTAGAGATGCTTCGTTGGCTTACAGATTAATGATAGCGGTATTTACCCGGTTATTAACATTCAAGCATAAACCGAGATAAATAACTTTTATAAACCGGAAATAAACCAAAATTCCTTTCCGGTTTATGATTTGATTGCTCTCTTCCCGAGTCATAGAAGACTTATCTTCAACCTCTCGACGTAAAGCCGCGAAAAAAAAAGCAAAATCCCCCAAAAAGATGGCTCTGATATTCCCCTGTACATTTTGTAATTCGTTTCAACTTCAGCGAAAGACTTTTCAGATCAATCGCCGATATTCTCCGAATTTCCGTGGAGGAGCTACGACGTGTGAGTTCCGAATCCCTGTAGAAATTTCCAGTCCAACAGACAGAGGATCGTTGGCTGTTCCTTCGCACAAAGTCACTGTCCACGATCGACAACGAGGAGTTGTTCACGAATTTGAGGTTCCAGAGGTGAGTTTTTACCTAAAATTTGATTATCCGTATATATGTACCTTTGATTTTCGCGGGGGAAATGTTGCTTTTCCTTGCTGCGTTTTCTGATTCGGAACAAAATCAGCATGAGATATGAGATTTTGATTATTACTCCTTCTTTATATCAGCTTAGGAGCTGCAATTAGGGAATGCTTATAGCTTGGGTTACTGATACATTAGATTTTGCGCGTTGGTCTACAGAACGCAATGTATATGATTTTGAATTGTCGAGTTTCAAGTATCTTCTGGCTCTGGATTCTGGATCCTTGTGATGATTAGAGATTTTCATATCTACATTCTATTTAGGTTCAATTTCTCTCTTTCTTCTGTTTTGATGTTCAAATGCGTGAGCGTTAGTCAATGAGAAGGAATTCCTCTGCATTAGGCTTTATTGGTGTACTTGTGTAACTATTATTATATAATGTGGTTGAAAAAATCCAACTTTGTTTCCTTTTGTTGATACATGAAGATCTATTTGAAATGCAGGATCAGTACATACTGCACTCAGCTGAATCCCAGAACATTACTCTTCCTTTTGCTTGCAGGCATGGTACTACTTTCTTGACCACGTTTTCAGTTTGTTTGCTAAGACCTTGTAAAGTGTGTATATGTTTCGTTTTCTTCTACATGTATCCCATATTGAATATTTAAAGATGATTAGGATCATCTAGTCCATATGCGTTAATAATATTGTCTAAATGTTCCTGTGAGATTTACATGTTGAAAGTACTATTTAGCCAAGTTCTCGACTTTGTTTTGTGTCTCGTTTACAGTTTTAGTTTTACAGTCTTGAGTGTCCCTTCTTGTGTTGGCAGGTTGCTGTACTAGCTGTGCCGTACGTGTAAAATCTGGAGAGCTGAGGCAGCCACAAGCATTGGGAATATCAGCAGAACTAAAGTCCCAGGTAATTTCACTTTACCTTGTGCTTTAGGGAGGTAGGTTTGTGATGTGGCCAGAAACAAAAGTAGAATGGAACTACAGCGACAATTTGTGATGATGATAGTCAGTGTTTGCAAAAACTTAGGACCAGCTCTTATTGAATCAACGAAAACAATGCGAAACATTAATCAATCACTCAATCGTAGTGTTGCATTCTCCTAAGTGAGTCTCATCGCTTGACATTATACGGTGTTAAAGACTTACCCAACTTTCAGCCTTTACAGAATGTGTAACGTATTTTAGTGAGTTTCAATTGTAGTGTTGCATTCTCGTAAGTGAATCATTATAGAGTGTCAAAGACTTGGCTAGTTGTTAGCATTTCGAGAATGTATAACGTAGTTTAGGTGGAACAACTTCTTCTTCCTGCAAATCAAATATATTGAAGCATAGGTTTAAGCAAATAGCTGTGTTAATTCCCTACAGAAAAATAGTGATTTTGGTACTTAGATCTTGATTTTAACTTTATCTTGCATTTAAGTTCTGTAGCTTATACATGCAGGGCTATGCACTTCTTTGTGTGGGTTTCCCTACATCTGACCTTGAAGTAGAAACACAAGACGAGGACGAGGTAACTTATTATATGAATCAACAGTACTTTGCCTTCTCTCGTTACACAGTACTGAATCGTATGAAATACACAGGTCTACTGGCTACAATTTGGAAGATACTTCGCTCGTGGACCAATTGTAAGTTCTCAGAGCCCAAAAAAATAATCTTGGTCCAATTTTCTCGTTACAAGTCTTCTAAATCAAACCAAACCAACGAGCGAGTTAGAGTAATTCGGAACTCCTAACTAAATCATAGCATGCCTATAAGCTGTTAAGTACCTTAGGATTTGTTTATTTTAATTGAAGGCTGTTAAGTAGGATTAGTTATGGATTTAATGTTGGCAAAGAGATCAAACTAAATACTATTCCTAAGATTGAAAATGATTTGGCATTGGGCTTTTAACAGTTTTTATCGATGTTACACTGCAGGAAAGAGACGATTACGCCCTTGAACTCGCCATGGGAGACGAGTAGAAACAAGAACAAAAAGTCGCGAACTCTCTGTACTAGAAGTGACTAGTGAGTGTTACTTTTCATAGTCCTGAATCTCGTTGGTGCATCCTCGTAAATCTCTTAATGAACTCAACGATATTCCGATAAAACTTCCCAACAATTCAACATTTTGTGAAAAAAACTTGTGAACCTTTTAACCATAAACTCCAAATTTGCAACAAAGTTTTTGTTTGCATATCTCTAGCCTCTACTGAAGTGTTGTAACCTTTCGGTCCTAAGTAATGGTCATAAACAGTATTCTTCAAATTTTGGATGTGGAACACATAATTACATAATTGTGGTCCATGTGAGAGGGAAAGGTAATGCTCTTGTGACCGTAAGAAATGATAATAATGTGTGTGGGCATATGAATATGCTTTTGGTATATGATGCTTTGTTATCTAACCAAACTTTATTCTTATATATTTTTATTTATTTACTAGAAGTCTAGAACCTTGAATTAGAATATACCTCTTTGATATTTTCTTAGATAGGGCCTCTTTTGACATAACGACACTAAGTTGAAAACCGATTGAAAAACATTCACCAACCCTTTCCATAATGATATGTTACTGTCTCAATGTCTGTGTGCAAAAACCCGAAATTTCTGGTCTGATTTAGTTTGGCAGTTGCTAAAAGCTGTCAGATTTTCATTGGACTATTCCATGTTCCATGTACTTTTGAGTGTGATACATTTCCATCCAGAGTAATTTTTGGTCCTATTGTATTTTTCGCGGTATTTTCGTTTTGTGAATAAATGACCAAGTTTATATGTTCTATTACTTTCATAGTGTAAAAAATAACATTTTGTTGAATTTGTTTCTGTCTTCTACTTGCGTTTTGTGCATGCAACAAAAAAAAAAAGAACTACGTTTAATAGTTACCCATGCAGCCATGCTTTAAATATTAGTTTTTGCAAAAAGAATGTGGAATTTTAATGTAGTTCTCTTAATATATAATATTGTTTTTAATATAATTAATGAAAAATGAAATCAAATTCGGTTTTGTAATGAACTATTCGTACTTTTTTATATTTACATGAAATATAGTAATAAAACGGCATTTATTTTATGAAATGAAGAGAACGTAAGTGATTAGGTTTTCTGTTTGTTGAGATAATGAGATGGGTTTTAACTTTAACGTTAGAAATGCTTTGAAGCATCTTTGCAGGTTGTAATTTCTTAATTTCCGTTATTTTGCTGTGCCAAAATCGCTATAATTGGTGCGCCATATTATTGACATTTTCTTATGCCGGATGAGTGTGGACCAAAATTTTTTTTTTTTTTTTTGGTTTTAAGTGGAACAAAAGTTTGATATGATAATATGAAAGTAGTTGATACGGTAAAAGATTTTATCATTTTAGCCATTAGCCTTTGGTAAGTGATGTGACATATAGACAGATTTGGCTGCCGATATTCTTGAAACTTTTTTTACCCTTTTCCCTAACCACTGTTATTAGCAATTCTTTTTTTTTGGGTGTAATACACATTTGATTGACTAGTCAAATAGAGCAATAAATTATCAAAGCAAAAGATATGTTTCTCGTTGTCACATGGATCTCATTCTCCGTAGACAGGAAAACGAAATCAATCTTATCCCTAAGAAGAAAAATAAATAATTTGAATCCTCCAAGCTAATGATCTATATAAATCTATGTCATTAATCTTGCCGTGATCCAAAAATACGAAAAGACTTTCGAAAGACATGTAAACCAACCAAAGAGCATTTATAGACGAACCTGTGAAGCCCACCCCAACTATCCATAGACAGATTAGCATTGTATTCAGACTTTTAGTCAAATCAAGAGACAAAACCTTTTTGCTACCACATATCCGTCGTACTATTTTTCTATAGTTTTTTTTTAATATTTATTGACTAAAGATTTGGGACCGAAACATAAACTAATCTTTGGAGAGTGTATGCAACGTCAAATCATATTGCCGTTCAAATTATATGTGTGGTTGGTTATAAAACAATCTCAACAATATATCACCTGTAATCCATAAAAGTTTACCTTTTATTCCTGAATAACTCTTACAATTGGTGAATCAATTTTTCCTCGAACTAAAAAAAAAAGATCCAAACAGAAACATTGAAGAAACACAACTCTATACAAACTGATAAAAAAAACCAAAAGTCAGCAATTTCGACGAATTTCAGATTTAATTTACTTCGGAAAATAGTTTCAAACTCATAACATTTAGCCGCGGATTCTTGATCAAGAGGAAGCAGAAAAAAGACGATTGTTCCTCTATATTGCTCAAAACTCAATATATAAACAATCCGGATCGATTTTTCCTTTTTAACTGTTAAACTTTAGATCAGTTGTGCTCGCCGAACCCTACAAGCATTATCAAAACCATAGCAACCAAAATAAAACATTATATAAATTAAAGAAGCCTCCTAATGTTAAGTCTTTTGCGATATATGGATTAAACCGATTTTTTTTTCATTAAGGTATTGATGAGAGAACTAACCCCAACTGATGTGACAAAGTTACAAACGGCACATTTGACAGATCTTGCTCCGTATTGATACATAAGTAGCATCCAACAGTTTCCGCAATTCACTTGCGCTACTTGATTCGCTGATTCCACATGCAAGACACGAGCTAAAGTTATTCATATATTACATAAAAAACTGGTCTAACCCAAATTGTAACTAAAAAACAACAAAACTCGGTCTAGTTGAATCTTAATTCGGACTAACTGATTTTTTTAATATAAATATCCTGATATCCAAAAACTGAAACTGAACTAGACCACAAAACTGAAAATAAACTAGAAATAATTAAACATTTGAAAAAACAAATGGTTTTTTTTTTGTATATCCAAAAACCAAAACTAAACTAGACCCATAAAACGACGAAGACATGCAGCTTAATGATTTGTATACTAGTGTTATCTGAGTTCAAAGTTGTATAATGCATGTTGCTGACAATAAACAAAAGAAAACCGAATCCACAAAACAACATAAAACAAAACCAAAAAAAAAAGCGGAAGTTAAATTTATTTTAAACAGAAAATTGAAAAAAAAAAACACATAATAAATTTGTGATATAAGACCGAATCAAAAGTTAATTTCCTATTGGTTTTGATTATTTTTTATTTCCTAGATTTCCTAACCAAAACCAAGAAAAAAAAAGTTCGATATTGGATTAATATGAACATCAATATGCATGTGTGTAACTAATAATGCAAACCTTCAAGAGCGAGATTAACAGTGTGACAACAAGAACACTGAACACTTGTAGCTCCACGAATGTACATTAGAAGTGTATGGCATCCTCCACACACCAACTGAGCCATCTCTGTTCCTGCAGTTCCCAATTTATACAAACCCCAAATCTCTTTAATCAGTTTTTTTAAGCAAAAATTTTGTTTTATCATTTAGATTTGACGGATGTTTCTACCCGGCGGAGGAACGGCTGTGACGGCGTTACAGACGGCGCAACAAACGGAGGTTGCTCCCACTGGATACATCAGAAGGTTTCTGCAACCTGAACATACTAACTGGCTCTGTCCTCCTGTACTACCTACGAATCTCAACTTGTTAACAAACAAAAAATTTGCGGAAAAAAAACTTAATGATTTAACAATGAATCCATGTGGGAATAAACAAATGGTTTCTGTGAGTAATTTTGAATCCATACATGTAATGAATAACCATAAGGATAAGTGAATGAGAAGCTTCAAATATTTGATCTCTAGAAGAATACAAAGCCGATTAAAAACTTGGGTTTTGTAAAAACTTATTAAAAAATCAATCTTGGAATGGGTTTTTATTTATTTTTATAGAAAATTCTAGCAGGGATTTGTGTCAAAATTAGAACTTTGGATGGTTTAGATTTTGAAAACAGAGGATGATCTATCTGGGGTAAAAGTTAAGAGATTGTACCATTTGCCGGCGGAGGAGTGAACGACGGCGCCAGTGCCGGTGGCGGAGGTGATGGATATGGTGCAAGAGGAACTGGCATTATTCACTCAAAGAATAGTTGCAAAAAAAAAAAAAAAACAATTGCAAAAAAATGGATAAATCTCTTATATATACAGATATTATATATATGTATATAATGGTTTCTCTCCTTGTTGATGGTTTTAGTGCCTTAGAAGAAGAAGATACATCTTGTGTTCTTCACTTCTTCGCCCATTTCCTCACTTTCATCATGTAAATTACAAGCACACACGGAAACAATGAAACAAAAAGGGAAAATGAATCTTTAGTTTTGTTAAAAAGGAAATAAATCCTCACAAAAATTTAAAAAGGTAAAAAAGGAAAAAAAATTCAATACTTTTTTTTGGATAAAAAATTCAATGCTTGAAACTTAAGAAACATGTGAAGACTAACTTTGGGGTCACACCATCACCATGAAGCTCTTTGATTAGTGACTAGATTATGGAATCTCGTTTTGATATATTTTTGCAGTTACATAACGTTTGTGTGTGTATCTATTGTTTGTACGTATTGGAGAATTTAGAAAGAGGAGTGTGAGTTGTGTATACTTTTGAAGATTGTATTATTATGTGAGGAGTGGGGCAAACACACACACTCTCTTGCAACTTGCCTTCATCATTTAAATAGATAGAAATATATATTATAAATGAAAAAATAGAAGAAAACGAATAAAACGGAAAAATAAATCTGAAATTCTAGTGGAAAAGAAGAAATATTTATTTTCTTCATACAAATATAAGATTTTTTTCTTCCTGTTGGTATATCATTGTTTTCCTTTTATTGTTATTTACGAAGAAAAATCCGAAACTTTCTTGAGATAAAGCAAAACTTTTGGTAAAAACATTCGGATTTTTCTTCTATAAAAATGAAAATAATGATATACCCAAAAAAAAAAAATTCTTAATTCTTAAGGAAAATAAATATTATTTTTAAAAGGATTAATATGTATATATATATATCTAGATATTCAATAAATTAGAATTCAAAAATATGGTATATGAGAAATTTCTTAAATACTTGATTTCACACTATACAAAATATTACACAGATCAGTTTTCTCTGTCAACCGTACACTTAACTCCATGACTGGTTACTCAATTAGGAGGAAAATAGTTACAAATACATAAATATATAGTTATTAAAAAACGGATTAAACTGTCCTAAAATATAACCTACGAATGTACAATTATCACATTTGAACTATGCAAGATGATGTATTTTATATTTTAAGTTAACTGTCTACTACATGCAATATTGATAGGTTAGGTTGATGTTATTAATATACAATAAACTATAATCTGGGATCAAATTCAATAATTTTTTCACTATCATCATATTCAGCACCTTAATAGTTCAACTTTTCGGCATGGAAAATAGATATGCTAAATTGAACCCAAAAATGTATATTATAATTTATACCAAAATTACCACAGACCAGACTTACCATGGGCCATGCACACAGGAAATTTAGTTACCCAATCAGTTGAAACTTAGTTTCTCTCTCTCTCTTTTGTTTTACCAAACCTACAATTTATTGTTTGGCAGTTCATTGAATTCATCTATTATTATTATATAGGCTTATTCATAAAAAGTGATCTTTTATATGCATATATACATTAAAAATGTGTGAAAATGTAGTGGGTAAGGCCTAAGGGTAACAATAATTTTGATTTATATGGTTAGATATATCGTATCAAGAACAACTTTAGTTTTGGGATACCTTTTCTAATTATTTGATGGGCCCAAGTTTCACTTATGTTTATGCTTCATTTTCTAAAAAACATTTCTGCTATTTTTTTATTATATTATGTCAACTACACTTCACATGTGACATGGTGAGTCACGGTCTCCATCGTAAAATCTTCTTTTGTTTTGTTATGGACTGTATATAATATAATAATAAGATAAATTAATATTAAATTAATTTGCCAGTATCTATGCAACCTTAAAGTAATTCGAAATTTACATAAGATAAGATTTCAGTTAGGGTGCAATAGAAAATAACATCTAAAAAAAAATATTTAGATGAGTTGAGTTCGTAAACCACAAACAAGAACAGTCCACAATCATTTTGGTAGGTCAGACCATCCTACAACTATCTTTTGCATGCAACTATTTAAATAAATAAAAAGATGAGAACGGGCATTATTAATAATGTGACTGTCTAATTGCAGGGCTTGCAAAACATAACGTCGATCTGTTTAAATAATATAATAATAGATAATGTTCTCGTATTTTTTCAGTTTTGATTTTTGGGAAAGTCTTATTAATAAACTTTGGCATTGACAAAAATTTTTTTTTGGCTTCTTCAACAACGGAGTTCTCTGAAAAGGTTTCACAAAAAAAAAAAAAAAACAACGGAGTACAAAAGAGATCTGCAAAATAGCCTTATTAACAAAGCTTTTTGCTTGCTTGTATACAAAATATACTCATGATGAATTTTTTTTTTTTTTTGAACAAACTCATAATGAAAATTTTCAAGCTTTTAATCGACCGGTTGCGAAAAAGATCAAGGCTCACGACCTAAATTTGACTAAGCAAATAATGAAAAAGACCCAGATGTAATGGCTTAGTCAAAGGATCAGTAAGTTGACTGTCACTTGACACATTAAAGACCACTATTGAGCTGGTTACAATATATCGATACCAATGTGCATTGTCGTTTCTTTATTATATTTTTGTCAGGATGCGGACGGATCATTGGAAATTTTAGCGGACCAAATTCTTGATGATATACTAAATTAAAAGTTTGATTTTCTTCAAGTGTATTATATGATATCTATACAAAAAGATTAAGTATAACCAAACTTGGGGAAAAGCTAAATAACCCTAACAATATAGCTTTAGCAAGATAGAAAGCATATTTTGATTTCTATGCCATGCACCAGCATATAGATCGTATACCAACATATATATATATATATACCCATATATAGCTATAAAGTTATATCCTTCTCCCTCAAGTTAGAGCATATAGATTCAAAATGCCTAACTTAGAGGAACATGTATTCAATCTCAGCAACCCTCAGTGCATTGGTAAACAAATTGGCCAAATGATCCGATGGTGACACATGTGTGGTAACAATCGTCTTTTCTTGTACTGCGTCTCGGACATGACAATCTATTTCAATATATTTTGTTCGTTCATGGAATATTGTATTCACAGCAATAGATAGCAATGTAGATTGCAGTCTTAGTCTCGCATGATAAAACATTAGCTCCGACTGATTAATGGCGAAATACAACAATTCTTAACGAACAATTCACTAGGACTCATCATAGCTATAGAGTGATACTCTGCTTGATCAGCACATGAATTACAAACAATATGTTTGCTTCTTGGTCTTCCAAGCAATAAGAGATACACTGAAAAAGACGAGATGAACATTCAAAAGCCAACGCGTATTTGGTCAAACTTTTTAATATGCATTACAATAAGCATAAAGTTGTAAATCAGACTTATAGAAATTAACAATATTTCTATCATGACACAATACGAAGTACAACTTCTCAATGGGATTCTCGTGGAGCATGAAGAAATCGTGACAATATGTGAACGACATAAACTAAAATTAGTTGTTTGAGTAAGATGGATCAACATCTCAACTAACTACATAAACATGTGAAATATCAAAATGCATCGATCATTAACTTGCTATATTTTGTTCAGTAGACAAGGAATAATGCTTGGTGTTTAGGAGGCCAGCTTCCGTATTAATACCAAGAACATATTTGTGTTGAGAAATAAAGATACCTCTTGGATTACGAGCTACTTTAATACCCCAAAAATATGTCAAAGGATCCAAATCCTTCATATGATTAATGTTCTTATATATACCAACGGTTCCAAAAACTTGAGGTGTTTCAGATTTTACTCTAAAATAATTTGCAAGTGGCACATCAAACGCAAAAGTATATATGAAGGATCCAATCCATAAAGACCAAAATATTCTTATGAATTTTAAGTGTTAAATTAAGCTAAACCAATAATAGATGCGTATTTGTTTGTGAGATGTGTGAATAGTGATGAAAAAATAAATTTGATTTTTATAGATTAGTTAGATTTACTTTTTACTACATATATTTTTAACATGTGCTCAAGATATATAAAATTCAGAAAACGTGAAAATTTAAAAGTTTAGTGAATGTAAAATATAAAAGTCTTGTGACTGTTAAGTGTTATGAAACAATAAAAATGGGAAAAAAGTAATACCACTGAGTACAGTGTCTACCAATATGAACAAATCCTCCGATTCAAAAGGAGGCAATATGGGCATGTACCGACGTGACAAAATGGGACAAAAGGGTCCATTTTGTTAAGGAACAAGAGATTTGAGGTCACAGTGGAAAATCCAAAATCTTGTCCGAAGAAATTGTAAAAGACACATCAACCGAAGATGCCATTTCCAGAAGCAAGCGAACACATACATGATGATTTCTCAATCTATTCCATCACCACCAATCCAATACAAGACATGTATGTATATCTATATGTATGTATGCATGCATGTATGTATGTATTGTATACTATAATTGTATGTGTGTGTGTGTGTGTGGGATTTTAAGGAATGGGAGAAAGAATAAAAGGACAAAAGGATTATAATATAATACAAATAAAAGCTAGGGTCATGTTAGAACATTTTGGACATCGACGTCGACTCTAGAGACGCTTGGATAGCCATTAAAGAGCGGCTACGGAATTGTCCACGTCTTACTTAAACAGTGATGGCTCAGCTCAAGAAGATGCATACAAATTACAAAATCCTTTTTTTTATTATGTTTCATTTTTCTCTACATTCCAGACTTTCCAGTAAGAAAATTATAGTATTTTTTATGTTATAAAGTTATTTTTCTAACTAAAATCGAACAGATCCAAACGAAAGATAATCAAACCTAACCATGCTAACTAAAAATTGCACCAAACCGAAAAAAATCAAAATATATTTACAAATAATAATGTTAATATTGTTTCATTTCTGTAAAATCAACCAATAAACTGGATTTTTTCTTACTAGCCCCAAGCAAAATGAAGGAAGTAGGAAGTTTATAATTTAAAACGCATCATTTAATCTCGAATATTTGGGCCGAATAAGTTTGGTCATGTAATGGGCCCAAGGCCCGTAAGTATAATCTCTGGCGCCGCTCACGCCGCCAGAAATGAAAAAACCGAACAAAAGTTTCTCTCGCGTAACCTTTCCCTCTTTCTCTCTATCTTCTCAGCCGGAAAATTCAGCCGTCGCCGATCAGTGAGTTCTTCCTTTCTCTCCGTCACTGTATTCGTAATCTTCGTTTATGATTATGATTCATCTTCTTGTCCTGATAATTGATTATGATTGGTTGGTAAGGATTCAATTTCTATCTTTCTATTTCCAATCGCTTTTAGTTTTTTTTCTTCTTTCAGATTTTCAGGGAGTATTCAGATGGGTTGTACAGTAAGGGAGAAGCACGTCAGAGCGAACCGGAAGATCCGACCCGCTTTGAGATCCGAGCTCGATCCGTGTTGTTTGCTCGAAAAGGTTGCTCTATCGAAATCCATTGTTGAGTCAAGCCTCAAAAACCTGGTTTATCATCCAGGTCTCACTGATTCTGGTCCAGAACATTGCGTCAATTCAAACCCTAGCGGTAATTTTGAAGAGAACGTGTGGGGTTATTGCACAGAGGAGCATTTGGAAGAGATTTTGCTGAAACATTTGGAGTTTCTATACAACCAAGCTGTTTCGAAGCTTATCGATTTAGGTTATGAGGAAGGTGACGCGATGAGAGCTGTTCTGAGTAATGGGCACTGTTATGGCGAACTGGATGTGTTGACGAACATTGTGAATAATTCATTGTCGTATTTGAATAGCACCAGCAGTGGTGGTAGCGACGGTAATGGTGAGGATCGATCGGAAACTGGTTTTACGGATTTGAGAGATTTGGAGGAGTATTCGCTTGCTGGTATGATATACTTGCTACAACAAGTTAAGCCTAGTTTGAGTAAAGGTGATGCGATGTGGTGTTTGCTAATGAGTGAGCTCCATGTTGGTAGGGCAAGTAGTATGGATGTTCCAAGTTCAGGAAATAGGGCTTGTTGTTGTGCTAAGGAAGATAGCAATGTAGAAGGAGTTGGTAGTACTCTAGATCTTGCTAGTTTTATGGCACCAGCATTGTGTCGATTCCATGGAGGTTGGGAATTTGAGAATGGAGGAGGACCTGAGTTTTCTGGGAAGGGGTTTTCTATGAACAATGCTGAGCTAAAATTGCAGAGAGAGATTGAGTGTCCGAGGAGGTTTAATCTCACGCCTTCTATGAAGTCTTTGTTGAAGCGGAATGTTGCAGCGTTTGCTGCTGGGTTTCGTGGTAGCATGAAGCAGAAAGAGTCTGAAGCTAGTGGTAATAGCTTGTCTTGTAACGATCCTGCACGCGTGGAGGCTTGTGAGCAGCAGCCGCGTGGCTCAGGGAGTGAAGAAAGTGTGAGTTCCGTGTTGGAGAAATTTCAGGATCTGAACCTTGATGATAATGTAGAATCGGTTGGTGTTGATGATAAGGACGGTGTGATAGTCACTCTGCTTGATGAGGTTAAGGATCTCGAGAAGAAATTAAAGGAAAGGAAAGATTGGGCTCAGAAGAAGGCAATGCAAGCTGCACAAAAGGTAAGCGATGAGCTGGCCGAGCTGAAATCATTGAATAGTGAAAGACAAGGAATCCAACTGTTGAAAAAAGGGAACCAAGCTGCTGAAGAATCAACCTTGAAAAGAATATCCGACTTAGATATTGCTGTTAAAAAGGCTCAATGTCAGTTGGACAGGGCAGAGTTGATTGTAGGAACGCTTGAGAAACAAAACGCAGAATTCCGAGCAGAGAGGGAGGGTTTCAAATTAAGTGCATCAGAATCGCTTAAAGCGTGCATGGAAGAAACAAAGAAGGAGAAAAAATGCATGAAGAAGCTTTTGGCGTGGGAGAAGCAGAAACTGAAATTGCAGGATGAGATAACAGTTGAAAAAGAAAATATTAAGGCCCTTTATAAGGCTTTAGCTCAGATCACAGAGGACGAAAAGGAAACTGAGGTACGTTGGTTCATGTACTATCTTCATTTATACCCGAAGGTTCTCTATATCCTCACAACTTTTGACTATAGAATTGTGGGGAGAACATTCATTTAGGATTTATAAATATGTTTAGCCATATTTCATTTCAAACATCATTCAAGAGGTATATAGTCCGCATCTCCCACATTTTTTGCTAGGGTATATGGACTCTTGATGTGATATGAATATCATCTTGGAAGAATCAGTTTTGAATTGTAGAAATCAGCCAAATGATTTGTTATATACTTTTTTATAAGTTTCAGGGAATAATCTTTTTTTCTCTATGTTGCTTCACATATGTGTTCAAAATCCTGCTCAAGATTTGCTTTCTTACTTGGATCATGATGTTGTACTTTACCTGAATCATACATGGATGGTTATTAGTCTATCAAATCTTTTTTTTTCTATTGTGGTTGATATGTTGATTCGCAGGCAGAATGGAGGCAAGAGCAGAAAGCAAAAGAGCAAGCTCTGGCTCAAGTGGAGGAAGAACAACGCTCAAAAGAAGCAGCCGAGGCTCACAACAAGAGAAAGCTCGAGACTCTACGGTTAAAAATCGAACTAGACTTCCAACGACACAAAGACGATCACCAAAGACTCGAGCAAGAACTATCTCGGCTCAAAGCCTCTTCAGACACTGACTCAAGCCACTTACCCAACAACGTTTGGAAACCTGAGAAATCTCAAGGAGAAAACATCGCTAAGCTCCTTGAAGAACTCGATAGGCTTGAAGGGACGTATGAGAACGAAGCAAACTATGATCGAGAATGTATAATATGCATGAAAGATGAAGTCTCTGTGGTGTTTCTTCCTTGTGCGCATCAAGTTGTGTGTGGTAGTTGCAGCGATAGCTTCTTCTCCAGCGAAAACAATGGCGGAAGCAAAGTCACTTGTCCTTGCTGCAGAGCTTTGGTTCAGCACCGAATCCGTATCTTTGGAGCAACGTCATGATTATAAAACCGGCAAAAGCTTCTCTTTGGGTTTCAAAGAGATCATCACCACAACTTCAGGTTTTACTTTTGTAAGTAAAATAAATAAATGCTTAACTTTATCCTCAAAGTTTTTTTATACTCGGGAAATTTCTTTTTTTGACAAAAAATCTTGCACGATGTACAAAAACTTGCGATCGTGATCGAAACTTTTTTTGGGTTTATTAAGGGTGATTGTCTTCAATTCAAATTGGAGAAAACATTTAGGGGTGTATTGAACTAAGCAAGCATTGAACTAAGCAAGCATTTGAAATGATTTAATCAAAGTGATAAAGTTTATGTTATTCAAACATCGATTTAAAAAGTTTTATGAAATCCAGTGTTATTGGATATATAATTTGTAACTTTGTTTAAAATCCATTTTTTATTGAAAATGTTTTAAGTATTGAAATTTTAATAGTTTTTAAGGATTTGGAGGAGTTTCCAAGTTAAAAATACAAAGGACCAAATCTTATTGTTGTAGGTGGAATTGCAAAAGAATTTAAATCAAATCATGACAATTTCTAAAATTTTAGTAAAACTCAAATCACATCAACTGTTTAGTTCAATACACCCCTAAAAGTGTGCAAACTCGGTTTCAATTTAGTTTTGATTTGGTTTTTAGACTTTTTTTAGAAAAAGGTTTGTATTAAGTGAATTAATAAACGAATTGGTCAATACAGTTTTGGTTTAGTTCGGTTAAACCAAATTGGACACTTATAAGCAAAAACAATGACAAGTGACAACCACAAGTTTCAAGAACTATCAATCTCAATCTCTACATGCGGCACACCATTGACATTCTTGTATCGCAATTATATTTTTCAATGATGGTTCCTTCTCTTGAGACATGTTTGATATACCAAGTGATAGTTGAAACGAAAGCATCAACAATAATGTCTTGATAATGAATGTTTGATATACCAAGTGATAGTTGAAACGAAAGCATCAACAATAATGTCTTGATCATGTCAACAATGTCGGAGAAAGTTTGTACCCAATTCAAGTCTACCGCTTTCTCCGACATTGTTAACATTATCATTACCAATCTCTTTTAGGACATTATTGTTGATGTCGTTGAGAACATTACTTGGTATATGGAACATGTATATGGAACATGTTCCAAGAGAGAGAACCATCATTGGCGAAATGCAATACAAAAATGTAGCTAGTGTCGCAGTTAGGGATTGAAAGTGACAGTTTTTGACTTGTAGCAGCCATTGTTATGAAAAAAGAAAAAGAGCGAGAAGAGAAGTAAGAGAGGAAAAGACTTTGTGATAATAAAGGTAAAGAAAGAAAGGATGCGAGAGATAAGTTTGGGAATTGTAGAAAAAAATGCAGAGAATAGAGAAGAATAACGGCTGACAATTTAGGTTTAGCAATGACTCTGATTGGTATAAGCTCGATCGATGATCTGTTTATTGTATTCCTCCAGAGTTATATACACAGCTATACAATATAGACGTTACAAGGCAATTAAGATGATTCCTAAAATACAAAGGAGAATATAAGGTTTCTTTATTCTAGTTAAGGCAGGCGTTGATGGGTTTTAGTGCAACAAAGTTCGACCAACATTGAGATTTCAAAGGTCTATGTGTTATCCAGGGCTGGATCTGAGAATTTAGGGGTTAAAAACAATTTAAGAACAAATATTTTTTTTTATGATTTGGGGGCTGAAAAATTCGTAAATAACCAAAAAAAAATGTTGGAATTATAGGCGGATGTTTCATCAGGCTGTCCCCAAATCCGACCCTGGTGTTATCATAGCTTATACGGGATTGTGATTTAAGAATGGCCAAATCAAGATTGGGTATGTCATTTGCTAAGAAGAAATATGGAAACCAATCTTCTTTGGAGGAGATGACAGTAAGGTTAGTCTGGATGATGTTTTTTTTTAGCCTTTAAATTGCTTCCTATTTTTTGGTATAATGTTAAGATTTTATACCAAAACGGTTACCGCTACAAAGAATAACAAAAAACACCATACAACTTACCCTTATTTACTTACCAAAAAAATGGAACGAACCCAAAAAATGGAGTGAAGCAAGATGAAATACTTTCATAACGGATGGAACTAAAAATATAATTCTAGGAGAGGAGTGTTGCTATCATTCGGAGGGGAAAATTGCTTCTTTGTATTAAATTACAAATAAATCAACAGAATCATCCAATAAGTCATCTTTACTTATGTAATTAGTAGGTATACACCATTGATGATCCATACGTTTTTAACACCTAAACAGTCTTTTACAAGTTTGTTTATAACTATTAGTTGATAGTGAGGAGAATCTTATAGTTTAAAATTGTATAATATGATACTATTTATACTACATGGGTACATGTGTACGCATAGAAAAATATATCTATATATTCAATAAATGGGATTTTAATTAGATCTTGATTCTTTTTTTATTTAGTTAGATCTTGATTCTTGATACATCTAGTGAACTATATAAATATTGTTCTTTTACTAAGGAACATGATAGTTCATGACTTCATTGTTCATAGGTCCTATGAGCTTCCTGATATTTATCGAATGCAAATGGAATCTCCATCTCACCGTTGAAATTCAGATCTGCTAATAACTAAGGTGGATATTCGAATTTGGTAGTTCAAATATTTGGGAACCGTCATTGTGAATTTCCCTGCCAAGAAAAAAAGGTGTAATGAAGTTTGAGATACAGTTGCTTTGATATATTTGGTTAATGGGACCTTCGTCGTAATTATATAATCATCGAATATAGATTTGAATTGTTAATTAACCTTAAGTGATGTTTCAAGGATAATATCAGGAGAATAGTATGTTGCTTGCGTCATAAAAAACCTCTGCATGGTAAATTCTCACTTGCGTCACACAAAACCTCAACATTGTTTCTCTCAATATCTGAAAACCTCGGGTGCGCTAGTTTCATGTTTCTTACGCGTAATAACATTGAATACCAAAAGAAAATTCAATCGGTAAACTAAATAAATCAGGTTTATCTTTTTGAATTTTTTTTTTTTTGAGATTTCTTTGTAATTCAATACAAAGAAGCAATATAAAGGCTACAAAAAACCAAGAAATCATCTAGTCTAACCTTACTTTCATCTCCAAAGATAGATTTTTCCCCATCATTCCTCTTAGCATATGACAAACCCAATCTCGATTTAGCCATCCTCAAATCACCAAACCCGCCCATCACAGGAGCTAAAAGCGGTCCAATAAGAAGCCCATCAGCTCCAAATTGAGGCCATTTTCCTGCATAATCAAATAGAACCAGTTCCGCTTCCTCCAACTTTATGATCTTCTAACTTTATAATTTCCAACTTTTATTAGTAACTAGGAAAAGACCCGTGTGTACACACGAGTTTGTATATTAAAGATTGATTGTTTGGTTGAATTAGCATAAATATGTTGGAGAAAAATATGTTTTACACTCATTTACTCTACTTTGTTTCTAATCAAGTTAATAAAAGAAGAAAAATTTTTACTCCATTTTACTTTAATTTTGTTTTTTTGTCTTTTCTTAACAAAAATAAAATTTGCTACTCCTCTCTTTTACTTTCATGTTTACTATTCACATCCTATATATATAATCTAATTTGTGTTTAGAATAACATGATATCTTTGTTATTTAGTCTTTGGAAATTAACTTTTTATTTGTAGGAAAATTACCCTAAAAACTATAATTTAATTGGAGATAGAAGATTAAGCATTCAATAAATATTTTATTTACTGCATAATTATTTTGTAGTCGCCATTGTTTATTTACTGCATAGTTATTAATTAATGTGTTTATAAATAACAGTGTCTCCGACTTTCATCTTCTCGTAATCTCTTCTGCCTCTTTTACCTCAGCTTATTTTCTAGTGTTTGCATTCTTCTCTCTATTTCGTAATCCCCACTCACCATGTCTTACACACATATTTTTCTAATAAATATTTAGCATATACAATATGAAAATGACTGATTTGATAAGTATTTTTCAAAGAAAACTATTCATCATTTTAGAGATCATCCGAGTCATCGGTCCTATTCTTCTATGTATCTAATCATTTTGAATATTTGGTATTGTGTATTTTTTTTTGTTTTGAAACTTTTACAATGTTATTAATTTATTTTTCCATGAAGTAATTTATTTTTATATATACAAATGTTCTTATAGAGCTGATTTTAATAAACACATACATTACAACTTGTCATTGTGTTTAACCTTCGATACTATTGATTGAGAAACTTGAAAGCATGTAAACTTTTAAAATATCAAATACAATTTTAGAACAAATTTCTCAATCATCCGCTTTCCCCTTGATAAGAGAGGGCTGCTCCCACATTTCATAATCAGTATCCATTCAGGACATCCCTATTGATTAATGCATTTCTCTTCAAAGAATTCCTACTTAATTCTAGTCAATTAATGTTTAACAAAGAAATTAACATAATTGAGAAGAACACATGTACGTAGAGACTATTCATCTATGTATGCTATCTCAATTATGTTATCCTAATGACCGAGTTATAAACCCTACAATACTAACACTTGTATAGAGTTGTAAAAATATTCATTTCAATATATATATACAAGTGTATTGGATTATTCTGCTTCTTCGTGTCTTTGCCTTGTAGCAGTTAAAAAATCATTACAACAATAAATAGATGTTGATAGCATGTTTATAGCTCATGTCCTAAAAAACTCCACACCATATTTGGATCCTACTTTTCTTGCTCTGATCATCAACAAAAACAATTTCTTTTTTTTTATCACTGTACATTTACTTAACGGTGTTGTTAAATTCTAATTACAGAGGTTTCTGCCGCACAAAATATCAACCAGAAATTCATAAGAGCAATTGAAGTGTTGCCTTTATAAAGTTGGTATAAACTGTGGTTTGATATTCATGAAAAGGAATCAGCTCCGAGAAGTTAATTAATAGCTTATAAAGAGATTTTTATAACTTGGGGACATGCTTGATATTAAAAGCCTTCTTCTCCATTGTTGCCTCGTCTTTGTTCCATATCTCAATGGCGGTCTCACCTCAGTGTCACTTTCGCCCGTAATCTGATCTCCTAATCAAGTCAAACTATATCATCAAAGGAAACATAAGAAATAAAGACTTGTATACTCGATCGAGGCTGCAGATTGAAGAAAAATGTGAAACTATAAACATCAATATGATTCTTCAGACACAACGATTGACTAAATAACTATGAGTCCAAAATTCAAA